CTAATGTAGTCTTTGTAAATAAGTTAAACATGCTGCATTATGTAACACACTGTCAAGCCAACGAGTTAATTTTATTTTTTTTTGCTATCAGAATGTAAAACAAAAGGACTAAGAAAAAGTTTTTTTTTTCTTTTTTCTTTTTTTGACTAAATAATGTCAATGCACTTTATTGTAACAAGTCCCTTTTTTTTTCTTCAATAAAAATATAATTAAAAAAAAAAGGAATGAGATCACTAAGAGCTCAAGTTTTCTCTCACGAAAGGGAAGCAGTTGCCTCCAACCCACTTCAAGTTCCTTCCCTCTGCAAGCTGCTTTTATTGTTTACACTCACGAATATTCATAACATTTGTTGCTATGTTAGCTAAGGCAGATTACTATGAATGGTTAGAAAACATGGAGTGGGGTGGCTGTAGCTCAGCTAGTAAAGCGGATCACCTACTAACCGGAAGGTTGTTGTTTCGATCCCAGTCTGCTCTAGTCTGCATGCCAAATATCCTTGGGCAAGATACTAACGGCAGGTTGCTTTCCGATGCATCCATCAGAGTGTGAATGTGTATGAATGTTAGTTAGGTAAAACTGAAAGCCTAGAAAAGTGTTTGGGTGAATGAACAAAGCGCTTTTGAGTGCTTGGATAGAGTAGAAAAGCGTTATATAAGAACCAGTCCATTTAGCCCTCCCAGGGTGTTCGTTGTTATCTTGAAGGTCGTGCATGCACTCACATGCGTGGGTTACATAGGGAGCAAGCCAAAACATTTACAACATCAAAGCTAAGGTACCATCATGCTTTAAATCTGCCACTATCATCCCCTCTAAAGACTTAAGCAGTAACCTGCCTCACTGTCCACAGTGAAGTTAGGTTTACATCACTATAGACTGAGAAGGTGCCAACTAAGAAGGTTTTCTAAGCCCCCACTCCAAAATCAACACATTCACACACTCTAATGCCTGTTTCTCAATCTCACAGCCCATGTCACCGCTACTTGCAGCCGCATAATGACGTAAGGAAATATTTCTTAAAAATCATTTTTCAAAAAATGACCGACCTGAAACGGGAGATGGAAGCATGTAAATATAATAATAACCACTGCAGCCGAAAAGAGTGCCTGGCGAGCCCAGTTGTAAGTAAGCTATTAAGACTCGACTGTCCACTGTGTTCACATTTTCCTCCGAAACAATAAGTTCCATTGGAACAGCCTTTCAACACCTTTCTCTGTCTCTCACTACCAAAGTTGCTAGTAAGTCCCTTTACTATAGTTCGGAGCCACTGACCTGTTTTATATATGCGCGGAATAGTTTTCTAAACGAGATCACTGCAAAAAGTGCATCCTTACTCAATGTCCACCCTACTGTTACTCATTTTATATTAAGATTTAAAAATCTAGTTGGTATTGCTATGGCAAATAGCCTTCAGTAATAGAAATAAATCACACAGCAATAGTACATTCAGGTTGTTGTAAAAAGCATGACAATATATCAAGTAATCCAAAGTATTCAAAATACGTTACTCTCATTGAGTAACATAACGGAATGCGTTACAAAATATATTTTGCGGCATGTATTTTTTAATCTGTAGTGTAATACATTTCAAAAGTAACCTTCCCAACACTGTCCAGCTGTCACGCACGGATGCGGTAGCATCATGCTCTAGGCTGTTTTGCTACCAGGGGTGCTGGTACTTTGCACAAAATGTGGTGAATAATAAAACAGGACGACAATCTTCAGATTCTTCCATTTAATCTCAAAGCAACAGCTAGATTATTATACACAACTTATACACAATTGTTGTGTACAGTTCTACACAAGATCTAACAGGACCGTGATTCCTAATCACAACTTGTTCTGGAATAGATAAAGCAGGCTAACATTAAGCTTCTAGAATAGTCTTCCCCAACCCCTGTCTTCAACCCAATTGAAAATTTTAGGACTAAACTGACTCTACACCAGGAAACCAGTTTAAATAAACTCTAACAATTCTGCCAATTTAACAGGTCAACTATGCAGCGAGAATTATAATATAATCTTAATGATAGCTACCAAAAGCGACTCGCTGATGTGCAATTTGCTTAGGGACATTAAACTAAATGTTAGTGGGGGAGTATGTATATATGTATATGTTTGAGACTATATGTATATGTATGTTCAGAGAAATCATTAAAAGTGTCAAAAATTACCACAATATATATATTTTCAATATATACATTAAATGTATAAAAACTTCTGACAACAACAGTTGGCAAAAAAAAGTAACACATCATGAGACAATATAAAGAAATTCAAGAATAGATGAGAAAAAAAAAAGAATAGATGAGAAACAAAGTCACTGACATCTATCAGTCAAAGCCATTTCTAAGGCTTTTGGATTCCAACGAACCACACTGAGAGTCATGGCAGAAATAGGGTGCCTGGTGCTAAAATTAGGGGTAAAACTTTAGCACCAGCATGGCAAAAGTTACTGGGAAATATCTTACATGAGAGGTCCATAAAAAAATTATGATCAGGATGTTAACAGTCAGATATACAAGGAAACCATAACGGCCCTAATGAGTTGGAGGCTTTTCTTCCACATAGTGACGCTGCATGGATGATACGTCTAACCAGGAATACATTATGAATGTTTGACTGGCATATTCACCAGTGGCACCGACTGCCCTGTGAATCTGAACAATGAAATCAACAAATTCCACCTGGCAACCATGTATCAAGTTCTTGCTGCAGGAAGAAGATGCCCAAACACCGGAGGATGCAATCACACAGGCAGAGGGAGAGGTAGCTCTAGAATATGACAATATAATTCAAACATTTGTAGTCCATGCAAACAAAGGGGGCACTGGACTAGAGAGCACCCCAACAAGGACAACATAACTGGGTGATGGGTAAAACCTTGCAGGAGAGGTCCTTCTGACTGCTGAGGTTGAAGGTATCACACCTACAGTACACATAATAGTGCACAGCCTATGCTCACATAGTGATTTTCTATTTTGAAGATAAATTCATACACTGTGGGCACGTATCATGCTGATGCCATTTGGAAAATGGTTGAATGTGACCTGACAGTGCATGGCCAGAAAATCACCTTTCTTGTTGACAAAAGGGTGGGTTATTTCCAACTCCTTACTTTCAAAAAATAGATATAAAAAAGTTATTTTGAGAAAAAAATAAAACTGAGTGATTCTGAGTTTGAGTTTTATAAAATTTCTTGTCACAACTTGGCTGAGGCTTTGATGCAAATGCTTATTGAGTCTGACTGTTTTGGGCACTTTCAAAAGGTTCAAGTGAAGGATGCACACGCTGCTCCAGCTGACCACGCACTGCACGACTTCAAACCAGGAGACTGCCTGGTGGTTAGCAACCTGCCGAGGAAGCATTGGGAGATCCAAACAGTGGAGTGGCCTATTCCAGGTGCCTCTAATGGCACACACAGTGGTGACAGTGCAAAAAGGGAAACGTGGGTGCATGCAAGTTGTTGTCAATGTATTCCATTAGCAAGGGTGGATGAAGTAAAATCGCTTTGCTCCACTTAACACCAGGTTTGAGAGGAAAATCTCACATCAGCCTTGTTGTTTCAGCGGTGAATGGTAAATGGACTGGTTCTTATATAGCGCTTTACATAACTTGCCTCATTTTCCAATTAACATAACCACTTTCATCTATGCTCTAAGTGCTTTCTATCTAATATTCACACACCTAATACTCCAATAGGTACATCGGAGAGCAACTTCGGGCTATTATCTTGGCCAAATATTTTGCATGCAGACTGGGATTGAATCACTAACCTTCTGATTAGGAGGTGACCTGCTCTACCACCCAGCAAGAAGTGCTGACTGAGTGCTCATACTCCAAGTTCCAGCCACTAGACACCTCTAGGACAATACTGCAGTAAGGTGCGATGGACTAAAGGTGCCAGTATACCAGCCATAATGGTTGCTTTGCTCACCACTGCAACCTTGTCAGAGTCACTTGTATGTATATCCGTCATTAAGGTGCAGGAAGCCACTGCAGTGTTCTCCTGTATGATAGATATCACCACTCAGATAATACGGCCAAATAAGCCCTGATATAGGAGAAGTGTGAAGAATGCAAACCAAACTAGGCCTGAATTAAACCTTTTTGTTTTTTTGGTCTGATGATTGTGTGATAAATGTGATATACTGGTGTCAGATTGGATGGATGAACAAAAATAAGAAATGTAATGGAAATGTTTGAGCTTCTGGTACTTTTCTGAATCAAGCTGGCCCTAATGAATTAAAGACAGTCAGTTCGTGTGCACCCGGATTTCTAGATTTTCGCAACAGCAAAAGGACAGCAGCCGTAAACTAACATAGTCTCTGAACTCGGGCACAAGTTCATGTCTATGTCTTGAGGCAACATTAAAAATGTAAATTTTTATCCTGAGTCTCCAAACTCCACACTTGTGTCTACAATATCTTATTATTTAAACCCACCAGGTGCACACTTGCATATTTAAACGCACATACTCACGAGCAGACGTACTATTATAGACAGAATCTGTCAGCTGAGGATAAGTTCACTGGGAGCTGCATTTTCTCAGAAAACTCACTGACTCTCTCTCAGTGAGTGGTCAATATTTTCCACTCAATATTTCCCTGAATGTTTTAAAGAACTCAAGCATGAAAAGGTCTCAGGATTGTTGTGGGTCCATGCAAACCTTTAAGGGAAATACAATTTCAAAAGCAGAGACAAAAAAAGAAAAAGGAAGCATCTGTGACAGTAAATAAAGATGTTTATTCATTTTTGCAAAGAATCTCAGCTCATGCAAGGATACAGCTCTTGTAAACAAAATCACTTGAAAATATGTTATAAATGTGCACAGATTTCTTATTTTCTTGGTGTCAAAATCTGGAATGTAAAATATGCAAAAGTCATATTACAGATGTTCCGTAAAGAGCCATCACCTAAAACGTCCCCTCTCTTGTTTCCCATATTAGCCTATTGCCTGGCCACACTGCATTAAGAGCCACGCTTGTTCAAAGCCAGGCATCCATGTATTGTGTGAGTGCATGACCACTCATGTCAGATCACAAAGCATCAAAGTGGCCACTGTGGGGCTTAGATTCTTCTCCGACACAATCATGGACAGTTACAGTCGAGCATTTGCACACAGAATCAGGCCCGGCAAAGACTTCAAAGTACAAAGAGATGCTTTTTTTTTTTAAGACATTTGTGAGATATGTACAACAACATTAAGACAAAGATACAAACAACAGTAACAGGTTTTTGTCCCTGTGGTAGCACAATGTGGAACATCTAACCTGGAAACAAAACTTATGAGTGTCAGAATTTAAACAACCCTGTAACTTGCAGTGAAGCCAGAGGTGGATGCGCTTGGTACTGTGCTGCTCTCTGTTTCTCAGATAAGCTGTTGAACATTGTGAGAGTCAGGGCTACAGAATGGAGCTAGAGCGTAAGCAGTATGAAGACAGACATCAGCCAGACTGCTCAAAACACCTCAACTGCCTCCTTTCTACTTGGAGCAGTGTGCCCTCTGAAATGATTGAGCTCCTCATCCTAACTCTAACTTATTAATCTCCATTCATGAATACATTACAGAGGCACATTCATTCCCAAACTGGAGCTGGACATCCCCCACCTTTTCCAGCTGAGAACCATTGCATCCATCTTTGAAGGTGCCAATATTTATCCCAGCCAATTTGCAATCAGCTGCAAAATGTTCAAACAATATAATACATGAAATGTTAAAACTGAGAAATCTGTTTTTGGTTTTGTTTTTTAAATTACAAGCTCCTTTTAAATTTGACACCAGCAATGAATTTTAAATAAGCTGAGAAAGGGCCATGTTTGTTACTAGGTTGCATTACCTCTTCTTCTTTGATCAGTGCACAGTGTATGGGAGCTGGCATGGCTAGTAGCTATATATGTAAATTTTACTTCATAGAAATTCCAATTAATCCAAAACTCTTGTTAAAAAAAATTCATTGTTTGATTTAAAATCCACTGTGATAGTGTACAGAGGCAAAACTACAAGAAGTACTCATGGACATAAAGTACTTTTAAAAAAGGTTCTCAGTTTCAACATTTGATGCTGAACATTTTGCGCTCTTCTGCATTTTGTTTTTAATTTCCATTTCACACAGTGTGCAAAGGTTTCAGATAATTTGTGTACTCAAAAATACAGTGAATCATAGAAACTATGGATGGTGCACCTCCCAACTCCACAAAAATGTTTTGTTATAATGATCCCTGCGGGGACAAGTGGACCCAAATTATGGCAGAAATATACTCCTATGAACAAATATATTCAGCTTCCAGTTAGAACTGACTGAGTTTGGCCTTCTGCGTTAGTGATACCATGCTCTACATTTCTGTACCCCTAAACATCATGACAAGTGAGAAAAATCCAGTTACCTTTCTTAACTGTAGCAGTACTTCCAGCTATAGAAACTGCCTGAGTTTTAACGACAGTTGTTTGCTCAATGTCCAGTAAAAAGCAGTAACTTCTAATCTTTATTTAACTCCATCTTAAAACCCCTAATGTGTAATTTTTCAGATTGTAGACTCCTAGTGGTCAGCCCTGCTCACTTTATAAAGCTTAATTTAATCATCATTCAGTTAATTGACTGATTCATTTGATGCCTCATACAGCAATCAGCCACTGCATTGAAACCACTACTGGGAGAAGTGAACGACACTGACCATCATGTTATGAAGAAATGTTGGATTTCTGGCATCATTACTGTAATAGACCAAACACATGAGAGGTGCTCAAAGTACTTCTCCAATCTGAAACCCGTTGAACACCGCCAACTCCCAGATGCCACAGGTCTTCCCTGGAGCTCCTCCTGAGCTCTTCTGTGTCACTTTGGTGGCACAGGCAAAAGTGACACAATATTGGGAAAATGGTTTTAATGTTATGGCTGATTGGTGCATGATAAACATGGCTGTGGCAAGTTGTGCAGGCATTTGAAGTGGAAATGTGGAAACACAAAATTTAGCCTAGGGTATGGCAGCGCAGTGTGCTGTAACTATACACTGACAAACATGACAAACCAACTACTAGTTCAAATCATGGTAGTGCAAATCTGGTGGATGTATGTATGCATGTAACTTTAAGTCTGCTGAAACATTACGGATCAAGCTGCATGACACTTATACCCATCATCCATGCTAACATGGCTAAAAACACACTAGCTGACCCATATTGCACCAGTTTCCACCAGGATAATCTCATTCTTCAGCGGTGTTTTATCATCAGACGATTAAAAAGGGGGAAGAAAAAAAGAGGATGTGAGTGAATTTCACCGCTTCATCATGTTCTTCCAGTTAGTTTAACCCATGTGTCTGAAATGTGGAGTTGTAGATTAAACATAAGAGGGAGGGGGTAGTCGGCTGAGCAAAAAGACACCAGACGATTTAGCAGGAAACAAAGATGGATGAGAGTAAGGAAGGCGGAGGTAGAAATGACAGGGATGGGAGAGAGCTATGAATAGACAAGCGAGTAGCAGAGATGATCGTAATGAGGCTGCCTTTTCAGAAGACTGTAGTCCCTCCTTCCTCGCTCCTCTCTTGCATTTTATGACTCTGGCTAAGTTTCTGAGAACATTCCCAACAGCTGAAAACTTTCTCACAAAAATAGAAGAGCCAGCATAGAAGAGGCCCTCTATATAATATTTGACTAAGCATGTCAGTAGATTTAAAAATATAGATATACAATATCATGCTGCAAATATTCCAGATCCCAATACAAACATTTAATAGATTGTTTTTTTGTTTGTTTTTTTCTGAAACAGGCACAGTAGTGTTATTCTGGGTAGGAATGCTAGAAAACATCAAAAGACAACAAAAAAAGAAACGCAAGAGCTTGCTCTGACACGCTGCAGCCATGTGGTGGTGCTGTGCTGACAGGCGCCGTGCAATAAAGAAAAACGCATTTTAATCCTAAGATGAAAACTCAAATAATCAAATATGTTTAAAATAAATTTTTGCGCATTATAAAAAAAACAAAAAGAAATTAGGCAAGGAAAACGAGCACCCTCTGCTTTACACAAAGTCAGTAGTACTGAGAGCATCCCTGAGGAGTTCAAGGAATGCCAGAGTGATTGGGAAAGGTCCAGAGCAGCAGAGTTGTGAGTCCAGCGCAGTAGTTTGAAGTAAGGCCTCAGTTTTTGTTTTTTTGTATTGGCAAAATTAAAAAAAAAAAAGAAAGAAAGAAAAGAGAGAGAGGAACATATACATCTGTAACTTACACCTAGCTTGAAAAAAATCTTATGTGCAAAATGTAAATCTTACAAATATGGAGAGTGAGTTTGTTTGTTTTTGTAGATCACTGAACAAGGATTGTGCTTGAGGTGGGTGGATTTCTCCACCCTCTCTCCCTCCATTTGACCATCCATACGTCGCTGCCCTCCTGCTGATCGACGGGCAGGCCAGCAGCTGACCCCGAGGACTGCCGTTTATTAGATCAAGGAGTTTCACGTCGAGTGGATGGTTCGCTTTAGCTTCTCGATCTCCATCTGTGAAGAAAAAATAAACTTCTTACAGTTGGTGTGTAGGGTGGGGATGCATGGAGCTACACTGTGTCCAATGAAGTAGCTGTTTCGCTATGCAGAGAGAGGAACTATGGAACAACACTGTGCACAGCTCTCCAACGAGGCCAAAAACATGTTACCAAGGCTACAAATGTAGCACAATGTTTGTACTGTTGGAGAAAGAGGCAGTAAAAAAAATCCTCAAAAGAAAGTGTCAATTATAAAACACAAAGATTTATATGCAGGGTCATCTGATTTCAAATTGGTTCAATTCCACAGCCGTTTACCGGGAACACTCCTTACTGTTAGAGCAGATTTGTAACTTTCACAATGATTTCTCCCATTTTATGGCTCATGCTCTGCAGGACTTTACATGACATGCCGCGAATGAGCTGATGCCAGAGACCTCCAGAGGTCACGCAGAGTGCAGGTTTTCAAAATAACTTCAAATTAAGTGATTGGTCATAATATTTTGCCCTGTATCACACTGAAAAGGCGCTGCAGCCATATTCGATTTGCGAGAGTAGATTGAGCTTGTGAGTCAGTCATTGTCATTATCCCTGCTGTGAGGTACAGTGGCATCCTGCTGTGGAGCTTTTCCACTGGTGGGGATTAGGAGAATTGAATGACAATGAAAGCACGAGCCGGAGGACAACCTGAGCCACACGGCCAATGTCTTTGACGAGGATGAGGAAGCTGAGGTGGAAGCTGAAGTTAACTGCAGGGGAGCTTAAACTAATCTCCAGTTATGTTTCTCTGTATGCGAGTCTGACCCTGCGTGGGGCTCTCTGCGGGGGACCCCTCCTCCTGTGATGCAATTTATATTGGTGCCCTGTTGAAGACAGAAAGGTCGGCTGGGCAGAGTGGACCAACCTTCAATCTCTCAGTTTAATATGAGCAGAACATGGACACTGAATGTGTTCACAACAGCCAGGGAGTGTAGTTAGCCTAGAGGCGTATCCTCGGTCATCAGTTTTCTTTCTTTGATTTTAAGTGAATGATTTAAATATTCATTCTTGTCGTTCTGCACAGAACTTGATTTTTAAGAAAAAAAAAAAGGCTCCATCAGGTAGCTGCTCACCTGGTGAAACATCAGCCTGAAATTTATAACAAAACCAGCTAACAGAAAAACCCTCTCTACTAATGTCTCTCTCACAGACATCATGCTCAGAGAGCCTGTCTGTTTAAGGCAGAATTCCTGACAGGATCGGGGAAAAACCCAGAATTCCTGTGGTGTTTAATTCCACAATACGTGGGATTAAACACCACAGATGTTATACTACAGTTCTCTTTTCACCTCCAAAACCCTGGATCCCACAGTTCCTACGATGCAACTAAAACATGTTTGCTGAATAACGACCTGTTTTAACGATAAACATTGTCCATTGTAGGTGCTTTTTGTCATTAGCACAGAAAAAAAGGCCCAAATAATGCTGATCCATCCCAAACTCCTTTACTTTCATTATCTGAAGCTCAAACTGGAGCCGAGAAGAATCATAAACACAACTCTGAATAATCTGAGCTTAGAGTTAGCAAACACATTACACAACACTCATGCTTTTATGAGCTGATGGGACAACTCAGGACAGACAGTAACCGTTATGTGTATAGCTGGTGCAGTGTGTCCCTTAAGGGCTTAATGTGTTATTAAACAGTTACATTTCTTTACATGTGTAAAGGGAAAAAACAGAAGGCTTCATGTGTGCATGATGGTGCAGGGATGAAATCTTCAAAACTCATAAATGCAGCCAGTTTTTTATTTTTATTATTATTTTAATTTTCATTAATGTGTGAGTGTTGACCAGGAAGAAAGAGGACATAATCTGCTGCTGGTAATAAACTAAGGACACTCAAAACATGCCAACGCATAGACTGCGAAATGAAACACTGCCTCAGGGTTGAAAGTGCAAAAACAGCATTATGTGCTTTTAGCAAAAATATTCAATTGGTACTGATGTCAGCAGATGAGGAGAGTTTAATGAAGACGGCACGGACTGGAGTGCTTTGGTGTTTTGCCGTCAGCAGGACTTGACATTAATGAACAATGACTAATTATTGCATGCATTCATGTGTTCACTCATTATTTAGTGGATGTAATAAGTTACATTTAGACGGTCCCAGCTGTGATCACATAGAACTTCTATTACTGAGTCATTAGAAAGTCACTAGTGTACAGAGCTGGATGCTGTTCATGTGTGCACAAAAAGCATCAATATTTGTCTAAACTAATGGGTCTAATGAATGTGGACAGCTCAGCCTGTGTTTCAGTTGCGAGCCATACTACCTGCAGGGACACACGCTTTTGCCTTTCGTCATCCAGCTCTCCTCGAAGCTCAGTGATCTCTTTCCTGGAAATAAACAAACAGAGATGTGCAACCTTAGCATGTGGCTACCTTAGCAGCTAATATTATAAATATCTAAACACTTTCTTCCTTTAAACACACCTCAGAACCAGTTTCAGTGCCTCAAATGAACTTTGAGTTAATGTCGTCAGAATCCAAAAGACACATATTATAATACTTATTATAAAAAGCCAGGATGGTTTTAAAGAGAATGATGGTTGGAAAATGCTTTAGTCGATAAATCAGCTCGACAGAAACGGTAGCTATTGCTAATTCAGAGAGACAGGAGTACGCATTACCATTTCAGTGGTATTGGGTTTGGCAGTGGCGTAATAATTTGATGTAAATCATATATTTATGTATATTTTTTTTATAATAATACTGTTTTATTATTTTATAAGGTAAGAACCTTGAAGAACAATTTTAGCTTTCCATTCCTGTCCTGCCCTCAAACCTTATCAGGCTCATGTGTCCTTACATTTGCTGCGACTTGAGCAGTTCCACCATGAGCTGCAGCTCCTTCATCTGGCTCCTCAGCTCCTCCAGCTGTGAGCTCGACTCCTCATGCTCCACCTTCGCCTTACTGCCCAGAGAAGCTCCGAAGTCTCCGAAGTCAGGCTTGTGGAATGACGGTGACGATAAGGTGTTTGTGGAAGGCTATTAAGACATGAGAGGAGAAAAATGTAAGACAAGAATTTTCTGCAATAATTCTTTTTTGTGTGTCTGTTTTGACCTTCAATCTAAAACTAAATTTAATTGGATGTTTTTATCTTGTCATTATAATACCTGCACGCTCAGGGAAAAGTATCTGTGATGCAAGTTTAATGGTGAGACTCTCAAATGAAATCCACTGTGACTGCAGAGCAGATGAGGAATTTAAATCAGATGCTACAGTGTAGGAAGAAAAACACAGGGCTGATTTACACAATGTGATTATGAGCCTGTTTTCCAGTGAAGGGGGATATTCAGTCTTTATCACCCCATCGCACAACCGTGTCTTCATGTAGGTAAACGACACCGACTTAAAGCAAAATAACATAAAGTGCTGCTTTTTGTAGCTCCTTGTATTCAGTGAGTGTATGTTTTTGGGGAGACGGTGGCATCATTTCCACAGAAAGTTGAGCGTTTTCAGAAAAAGTGATGTAATGCTAAAAGGATTGTGTGACATGCCAAACTTTCCCTAAAAAGCCAACTTGGGGATAACTTTAGCTATTAATTAGACAAATCTGAAAGCAGAGGACTTGAAAAGAACCAAACAGATGGAAGTCTCAAGATGAACAAACAGACTGTAGGTAATGTGTCAGGAAATAATCGGAGTATGTGAACCGTAAATGTGTGATGGTGAGAAATAGGAGTAGCAGGGGGTGAGCAACAGCTTGTTTGACACGGGTGTGACAACTTCCCCTATGGTGGTTTATTCTGACCATACAATCAAGACATTGTTTTTACTGTTACACTTAAAAGAATCTGTATGTAGCTGTGTACTCCAGATGTGCTGATGTGAGGCTTGCATTGGGTATTGGTCAGATACTGAGCCACAAAAGCTGGACTGGGTATTGGTGACGACAAGCCGATCCATGGTCCAATCACAAACAGCTTCTACTTGTTTTTTTTTTCCCCAAAGTTTTTTTTATCTAACTGCAAACTGTGGTTAAAGTGAGCCAACATGACTGAAAAGGGCCGACAACAATGATGTTCCACTTCCTTTCGATTGTGCACTTGATTGCTTTCACTCTTGTGCTCGGTCAGAGACCTTATCTGAGAAGCTAGAAGCAATAATAACACATAGTAATACACTGTAACTGAATATCATTCACTTCAGCTCTTTACTGCCAGCTGCACATCTGTGTGCAAACAGGAAAAGTGAAAAACGTTAAATTTATTTTACTGTATTTATTCTGGGCCTGTTTTCATTTATCACTTCACTAACAAAGTACACAAAGCTGTGAGGATTCCTGGCACATTCAATTCTCTTACTCACAGTGAGAGGTGCAGATTATTAATTCAACACTGGCATCAGTAATGGAGCAAGACCAGAGTGGAGTTCCAAGTTATCACCTAATGTTTGCAACCTTGATTGTGAAGCAGCATCTATGAACTGAGTAACCAAATACCACAAACATGACTGAGAGGTCCAGTTGGTATGAAGGTTTATAGGATGCATCGAAAAACACCTTTTTGTACCAGGCTGAAAGAGCCGTGTTATGGTTTTGCAGACGTGTCAGCATTAACCATGTGATGTTGGCTTATCTGCTAGTTTGGATGTGTGACATTCATGGTGACAACATAATGAATAAAAGGCTAGTCACCAAAGCCTACAGAGTGGTCACCACCAGTTCCTAGGAAAAAATATATAGAAAGTTCCTTATGATTGCTTTAGACCCTAGAATCTTGTTGCAGCTGTGGTTTGATTAGACGTCTTTGATTTGTCCATAAACATTATCCACCTGCTCTCTGAGCTATAAGGAAACTGAAAAGTGTGACACAAACCAAGAACGGAGACAGCCTGCCTTAAAAAATGAAACAGCTAAGGAAAGAAAAAGACAAACCCTTTTCATTTCATTTTTGGTGCAGCATCTTCTCTGTAACTGATTTACTCAGCAACCTCAAACTACTGCCAATGAGATGGCGACGAATTGCTTCCCTAACAACCAGCAGTTGCATCGCATCCAATATGGCAGACAACTTTTGACCAATGTCCACAATGTCACATTAGAAGCCTCAATGTGGACTGGAGTACCATGCTGACTTGATTTCAACATAAGCAGGCAGTGTGCTATACTGTACCTACCAGATTCACACAACACAAACCATCACTGCTGTGCTACCATCAGCAACGCCGCTGGCAACAGCTGCCATCACTTTCACACGTTTATACCCAAAGATCTGCTAAGACCATTCATTCTTTGCTTCATTTCATGAGGCAGTTATGTCACTAAGTGGGCACCTGTTACTAAACTAAAGGTTTCCTCTAAACAGACATGAAATTAAATTACCTTTCTGGTTTCCGTTAGCTTTGGTTTGGCATCTTCTTCATCAGTCTTAAAGGTTTTCTCCACACTCACTTCCTTGTTGGGCTGTAATGCAAACTGTGGAATTATGTTGGGATAAAATGTGCTGCTCGTGACAGGGAAAACAGGAAAAGCTGCAGAGTCCTGAAACGATTGCATCTGTCAATGATAGTTAACAGCTACACTATTAGCTCTAGTGTCATGGTAGGATTTGTAAGGAGTCTGCAGGTATAGGGAAGTTAGATTTTTAAAAGAAAAGACGCCAAACCTATGATACAAATGTACACCCGACATGAAAATAAACTGATATAAAGACCTTGATGGCAATTTAATGATAACAGTATTTGGTTGCATTCAAGAATGTGGTCCAAATGTGGGAAAAGCCAAACACCTGCTTACAGTTTGCTTTGTAAGGCACCAGCTTTGAGCAAAAACAAGGACTGCTGTTCTAAAGCCATTTGTCTTTGTTTTCATGAAATCTCTTTAACTATCAGGTGAAGGCTTGTATACTAAAGTTGTCAGGGAAAAGAAGAGATTTCTTCTGTAACATAAATAATACATAGGAACAAATATAGAGACCAACTTGCGGAAACTATATTACCAGACGTCAGCCTAATTTTTAACATGAGATGGTAAGAATGATGAGAGTAAGAGAGACAGCTCCTCATAATAACCATCCAAAGAAAAAAGGTCAGTGTCAACTTAAAGGGAGCGGGGGATTGTTAGCGCTTGAGCACATCCTCACCAATTGTCCTCCACCAAACTGCGTGGGCAGCCTCCTTCCAGTCATCTTTGGTCGGTTGGTCGTGAGGTGAGAGAGCTTCTCCGAGGTAGACGACAAGTCATCAAAACTCATCAGATCTGTTGAAACCAGATGAGAGAGAAAGAGGTGAGGGGAGAGAAATAATAGAATTATTTTTCAGCACAACATTTCAGCTATGACTAAACCCAACATCCACAAGCGAACTGACACTTTCAATAATTTCCTTTGATTCACTTTGAATGCACTGTAACTGCTCACAAACAGTTTGGCTTTTGGTTTATTTTCTGCCTCATTAACAACATTAATACACACACAGAAGCAGGAAATCAGCCAAACACAGGCACAAGGCTAAACAAACAACTAAAATATAAAAGAATATATAAAAACTAGTGCTGTCAATAGATTAAAAAAATTAATTAAAATTAATCTCACAATTTTCTGTAATTAATCGCGATAGCCTGTTGATCAATAGCCTGGACTTTATATTTAAGCTTGTAACTGACATTTATGAAATATAATGAAGTAAATTCAGAATAAACACAAAGAATGTATGCTTATATTCAGATAATTTGAATAGTTTTCTTCAATCTTTTAAAGGTTTTCTGATGTGACGTACAACTTTTTAAAAAACCTATATACTAATAGCTAAGTATACACTTTTACATAATATATATAAGAGCTGTCAAACAATTAAAATGTTTAATCAGATTCATCACAGGGTTACTGTGGATTAATTTTGATTAATCACGATTAAATATAATTTATTTTTATTCTATATTAACCACAATTCATTTTGCTTTAGCAAACAGACTCGAGAAAAAAGGGAAAATATACGCAATTAACATGTTTACTGAACATCTTGAACATTCATGTTAACAAAAAACTCTGTAAACGTTTATCCATCCTCTCTCTGTTACTCTTGGGGAGGCACTTCAAGTCCTTGAAACGAGGAACCAAAGCTATGTAAAGCGCGTTCTCAACGATATTAATAGGTCTGCAGTTTGTTGCAGTCCACTTGGCAATTACGTCAGTCAATAATTCTGAGGTAGACTCACTGAGTCCCTGATGCTCCGTGAGTGGTTTGTCGCAAGCTCGGTGACACGTTAGCCAAAGTCCTAGCAGCATCTCCGACTAACGCATGCTTTGCGTCAATGTGACATTTTAAGCTGGAAGTGCTTCGGTGAAAAGAAAATTCCTTCTTGCACAATGTGCATAATACTTTATGTCGGTCGACTGTTCTGTCTTGTTATTTTTGGAATACTCAAATTTCCCATCAGAGGGCCAATGTGTGTTTATCATCTTCCAAACTGAGTTGATTGGTTCAGCTACCCATCACTACCAGATCAACTGTCCATTTGCGCATGTGAGAAGGTAACTCTACTTGGACAAACAGCCCGAAATGCATGACAGAAGCATTTCAGGGATTTAGAGTCAGTCTACATTCCAGATGTGTTAATTGCGTTAAAAATTGTAATTGCGTTGACCGTGATAGCAGATTAATGTGCGTTAACGCGTTAATTTTGATGGCACTAATAAAAACAGTAAAAAATGTCTTCTTTAAACACTTAAATCTACTGACACAAGGGGCAGCTTTCATATTTTTGGATGTCTGTCTGGCCCCTGGAGAAACACGTGGGGTGCTTGACACAATATTGACCCTAAAACAGAGGAACCACAAGGGAGGCTGAAAGGTCTCAGAGAAAGGACTCCTGAAATAGATTTAATAGAGCAGACCTGAATGGCTTTCACTCAGGGGTACTGTTTGCTACAGCTGTATGGCGTTATTTTTGTGCCACTATTCTGAGTGCACATAAAAAAAATTTGCAGGTGCAAGTGTTGCATTTTGAGGAGAAATTTATTTTGAGCGAAGAAAAACTGAATTTGAGTGAACAGAATTCATTGCTGCGTGCAGAAAATTCAGTGTTTGCTATTATTCACACACACGCACAATAGTAGCCCCTCTTGCTCAGTTTTTGCATTTGCGCTTGGTCGCAATGTGTTGCTTGCGCTCTCAACATTTCTGCCCGTGC